TCTTTCTCTCCTCTTCGTTCATTCCCTCTCTGTTCACATTCCCTCGTTTCTATTTTCCGCTCTTCCTTTCTCCCTCTTTCTCCTTCTCGATTGGTTCGTTCTCTCTTTTTAATGAATATTTTAAATACTTTTATATTTCTCCTTTGTCACCCATTGTCTCTAATCAACAAGGTCGAATCTAACACAACACCATAAGAGGATTTTCGACTTTAATACTTATAGAAATATATTGGACAAGAAACCTTTTTTTTGCCAGAATCACACCCTCTTCTCCCCAACACGATTTCCCTTTTCGCCTTCCTCCCCTCTCTCTCTCCTCCCTCTCCTCCTTCTCCTCCCTCTCCACCTCCCTCCCTTTCTCGTCTCTCCTTTCCTTCCCTGCTCTCTCCTCACCTCTCTTCTTCTCATCTCGTTATCGTCTCTTTCCTTTCCTTGTTTTTCTCTTTCCCTTCCCCGTTTCTTCATTTTTCCTTCTTTTTCTTTCCACTTCCCCTTTTTCGCACCCTCTTCCTTCCCCTCTCCCCATCTCCCTACATTTCCTTTCCCCTCTCCCTCCTCCCTGTCCCTATTATGCATATAAGGTCGGCGTGTCCAGCGATGCTTAATTGGCACATCGACCTTACAGAACCAAAATTTAGCATAGAAGGGTAGCGAAGAGATAAGGGCGGAGGAAGGAAGGAGAGAGGGAGGGAGAGAGGGAAGGAGGGAGTAAGAGAGAGAGAGGGAAGAAGGAAGGGAGGGAGGGAGGGAGGGGAGAGAGAGGGAAGAAGGAAGGGATGGAGGGAGGGGAGAGAGAGGGAAGGAGAGAGGGAGGGAGGGAGGGGAGAGAGAGGGAAGAAGGAAGGGATGGAGGGAGGGGAGAGAGAGGGAAGGAGGAAGGGAGTTAGAAAGAGGAAGGGATAGAGAGAGGAGGGGGAAGGGAAGAAAAGAGGGAAGTAGAGAGAGAGAGAGAGAGAGAGAAGGGGAGTGAGGAATAGGGAGAGGAGGGGGAAGGGAAGAAAAGAGGGAAGTAGAGAGAGAGAGAGAGAGAGAGAAGGGGAGTGAGGAATAGGGAGAGGAGGGGGAAGGGAAGAAAAGAGGGAGGGAAGGAGAAAAAGAAAAGAGAGAGAGAGAGAGAGAGAGAGGGAGAGAGAGAGTGAGGAATATAGAGAGAAGGGGGAAGGGAAGAAAAGAGGAAGAGAGAGAAGGAGAGAGAGAGAGAGAGAGAGAGAGAGAGAGAGAGAGAGAGAGAGAGAGAGAGAGAGAGAGAGAGAGAGAGAGAGAGAGAGAGAGAGAGAGAGAGAGAGGAACAGAGAGAGAAGGGGGGAGTGAAGAAAAGAAGGAGAGAGAGAAAGACAGAGAGAGAATGAGGAATAGAGAGAGAAGGGGGGAGGGAAGAAAAGAGGGAGAGAGGGAGGGTGACGAGAGTCGAAGGGTGTTTTAGCCTATTGTGTGCATTTGTTTCCTTGTTTATTTGTTATTCATTCGTTTGATTATATGAAGGGTTAGGAAGGGGGGGGAGTAAAGAATGGAGGGGAGTGAGGGGAAAGGGAATGCGAGGAGGAGGGCAGAAATAAGGGAGAGAGGGGGGGGAGGGGAAGGGATGAGAGGGAGGGAATGTAACATATCGAGCCTAATTGTTGTAATTGTTTCCATGTTTATTTGTTTACCATTTGTCTACCTGCTCCCCTCTTTTCCCCCCACCCCCTCTATCCTTCCTTCCCTCCCCCCCTTCCCCTTTGCAAAGGACACTTAACCAAATCATTTGCCGGTTTGTTCGGGTGGATCAGGAGGATATGTGTCAATTAGGTTCAAATGACCATAGGATTAGCAGCGGAATCTCGCGCTTATCGTCTCCATTGTAGTATGGGCACTGGTGGCATTTTTCCTTTCTTTCTTTCTCTCTTTTTCCTTTTTTAGAGTCCTTTTTTTTATTTTCCAGTTTCATTTCGCGTTGGATTTTGGAGGCAATTCACTCGTGTTCCGATAAGGTGGTCGTGGCGATACGAGAGCCACTGCTTTAGGTGTTTTCCAAGTAACTGTTATTCTTGTTCTTTGTTGTTTGATACGTAATGATAAACAAGGGCTAAAGAGGAGAAAAGGAGGAGAAAAAGCTTTTCTTTTTATAATGTAAATTTATCGTAATGCTACAGTATGAAAATGTCGTAATCCGCATCATAAATTATTATCCATTATATATTTGTGGTCAACTGAGAGAAGAAAACGAGGGATAGAAAACAAAATTTAACGGATTTTTAAAAGATAAATGGAATCACAATGAAAAGCGAAGAAGAAAAAAGAGGATAGTAAGGATAAAAATAAACAAAGACTAAATGAATAACAAAAATAAAAGAAAGAAAGAGAAAGAAGAAAATAAAGAAGAACCGGTATAGTATAACAGAAAGAATGAGAAAAAAAGAACCGGCGGGGATATGGGACTAGAGAGGGAGAGGGGGGGGTATAGGAGCGAAGAGAAGGGGGGTGAGGGGGAGGGGGGCGCAGCTGCTACTGCAACAGTGATGTTTTAATGTGCTTGTTACACTGGATTGCAGCTGTCATTAGGCTCAAGATCTGTGCAATTGCAAAGCACAACAGGCAATATTCACCCTTACGGCTTTCCAACGGCAGCGAGAGATTGAAAGGAAAAAAGAGGAAAGTGAAGAGGAGAGAGAAAGGGAGTAATGAAGAAGAGAAACTGGGAATAGAAGAGACTGATGAGAATGTGGGTAAATGTACATAACCATAAAGAGAAAGATATATAGATGGAGAGGATATGAGAGTAGGAGAAAGGAGGCGAAAAGGAGAAATAAAAAAAACGTACAGGGAGAAAAATGGTGGAGGAAAGAGAGAATAAGCAAGAGAAGAGGGGAAAGGCGAACAGAAAAGAAGAGAAGAGAGAAGAGAGAGAGAGAGAGAGAGAGAGAGAGAGAGAGAGAGAGAGAGAGAGAGAGAGAGAGAGAGAGAGAGAGAGAGAGAGAGAGAGAGAGAGAGAGCGAGAGAGAGAGAGAGAGAGAGAGAGAGAGAGAGAGAGAGAGAGAGAGAGAGAGAGAGAGAGAGAGAGAGAGAGAGAGAGAGAGAGAGAGAGAGAGAGAGAGAGAGAGAGAGAGAGAGAGAGAAGAGAAGAGAGAGAGAGAGAGAGAGAGAGAGAGAGAGAGAGAGAGAGAGAGAGAGAGAGAGAGAGAGAAGAGAAGAGAGAGAGAAGAGAGAGAGAGAGAGAGAGAGAGAGAGAGAGAGAGAGAGAGAGCGAGAGAGAGCGAGCCAGCAGCCCCGAGAGAAACAAGAGCCGGTCAACGGGCGGTGTTTACCCTACGCGCTTTAAAAATTCTCGCAGACACGGAATAGAGTTTCGAAATTTGGCAAATTACGTTAATTGCCCTTAATTTTGGCCTGGCGAGGGGAGGGAGGGGGGAGGTAGGGAGGGAGGGAGGGAGGGAGGGAGGGAGGGAGGGAGGGAGGGAGGGAGGGAGGGAGGGAGGGAGGGAGGGGAAGGGGAAGGAGGGAAGGAGATTGTGGGAGGAGGGAAGGGGGGGACGGAGGGGGAAGGGAGGGGGGGGAGGGGAAGGGGAGGAGAGACTGAAGGAAAGCACAGAAAGGGAGAATGGGGGAGGGAAAAGAGAAAATAATAAGGTAAAATACGGAAAATGGGAGATATTGAGGAAGAGAGGTAAAAAGAAAGAGAGAAAAAGAAGAGTAGAATGAGGGTAGAAAGAAGGGAGAAGGGAAAATAGGCGAGAGGAGCAAGGAGATTAAAGCGATGGAAAGCAGGAAAAAAGGAAGAAAAGAGAGACAGAGAACAAAAGAGGGGCAAGAAAACAAAAAAAAAAGGTCAAAAGGAGAGCAAGAGAGAGACGTTGAAAGAGAGAAGAAGAGACACAGAAGAGTAGAAACACAGGAGAAGGAAAAGGACAAAGTGAGTAATGGACGAAGTAGAAGAAAGGAGGGAAAGGAGGAGAGCAAAGGATGAAGTAGAAGAAAGGAAGGGAGAGAGGAAGGAGGGAATAAAGGAGAGCAAGGGGAGGGCAGGAGAGGCCGCCCTCCCTCGTCTCGGATTTAACGCGTCTAATTATTGAGTGGTTTACGCCCATTATTTTCGAGTTCCGAAATAGAGTCTCGGAGGCGCTGGTGGGCGGGGTGGGCGTGGGCATGGCTAGTGGGAGGGGGGGCGAGGGTTGATGGAGGAAAGGGTTATTCCTTTTTAATATTTTTTAAGATGTATTTTTTTCTCTCTCTCTTTCCTTCTTTTTTGTTTTTACCGCTTTTTTATAGATATCTTTTACCTTTTTGTTATCATGGTTATCATCATTAGCATAATCATCACAGTCACCTTCTTCCTTTCTCTTCTATTCATCGTCGTTGTCACCATTATCAACACCACAACCACCATCATCACCCTCATCACCATTACCATCACCACCACTACCAGTATCAACTACCATCACCATCACCACCACCACTGCAATTACCATCACCCTCATCACCATCACCACCACCACTGCAATTACCATCACCATCACCACCACCACTGCAATTACCATCACCCTCATCACCATCACTACTACAATTACCATCACCATCGCTACCATCCTCATCATCATTTAGCTCCCTTTGCCACACACAATTACACAAATGATGCTAATAAGAGCGAATGCATATTCCTCTTTTACACTCAATTAAAGGCATGATGACTGTTTTTACGAGCGTGAAATGATGTGAAATCGCCCACTAAATTGTGAAATATTTTTATAAGAATTCATATCGTGTTCTTTGTTTTATTTTGTTTTGTTTCAGGCTACTGTTTTTTTTATTTCAAATGTTTCTTGCGGTTGTTATGATTGTTGCATTTTCTTATTCTTCTTCTCTTTATTTTTGTTGTTCATTTTATCTTTCGTTTTCGTAAATGAAGAGACAACTTTGCGAAAAGATTACGTTTTCTTATCAAAATTCATTATCGGAATATCATCATCCAAATAGTAGATCACCAAGAAACCATCGACCATTATGCAATTAGTTTATCACAATAGGATCGCCCCCCAAGCACCACTTCACCATCAGATCACTACCCAAGCACCACCCAGGGGCTTCATCACCATCAAGTCACCACCGAAGCAAGACCCAAGGGCTTCATCACCATCAAGTCACCACCGAAGCACCACCCAGGGCTTCATCACCATCAAGTCACCACCGAAGCACCACCCAAGGGCTTCATCACCATCAAGTCACCACCGAAGCACCACCCAAGGGCTTCATCACCATCAAGTCACCACCGAAGCACCACCCAAGGGCTTCATCACCATCAAGTCACCACCGAAGCACCACCCAAGGGCTTCATCACCATCAAGTCACCACCGAAGCACCACCCAAGGGCCTCATCACCATCAAGTCACCACCGAAGCACCACCCAAGGGCTTCATCACCATCAAGTCACCACCGAAGCACAACCCAAGGGCTTCATCACCATCAAGTCACCACCGAAGCACCACCCAAGGGCTTCATCACCATCAAGTCACCACCGAAGCACCACCCAAGGGCTTCATCACCATCAAGTCACCACCGAAGCACCACCCAAGGGCTTCATCACCATCAAGTCACCACCGAAGCACCACCCAAGGGCTTCATCACCATCAAGTCACCACCGAAGCACCACCAAGGGCTTCATCACCATCAAGTCACCACCGAAGCACCACCCAAGGGCTTCATCACCATCAAGTCACCACCGAAGCACCACCCAAGGGCTTCATCACCATCAAGTCACCACCGAAGCGCCACCCAAGGGCTTCATCACCATCAGGTCACCATCCAGGCACCATACGAGGGCCGGCGAGGAGGACGAGCGAGAGAAGGAAGGGACGGTTATGGTATGA